CAGTAGAGGCGAAAGAAAGAAGTAAGCACGAGTGAGGACCTTTGTGCCCTGAGGTTGCATTCTGTGGTCTGGAAGATGAGTCAGTTATTTGAGTGGTTATGACAATTGTTTGGGCACCACCCAGAAAAAAGAACAGGAAAGACATTTGTCTTACCCAGTGATGGGATTCCTTCCACACTGCTTCTAAGTGAAAGTAATTTGAAACTATGAAATGGAAACCGTGTATGTTAAAGTGTCGAAAGGTGAGGAATGGAGACAATTTTCAGCACTGTGAAGAGAGCAAGAACAGAGTAGACAATCCAGGTCTAGATAACCCTGTGAAAAGGTATGAAATAATCCAGGGAGAATCTCATGAAATGTGAGATAAGGGTAGTTTTGACCCCTGAAAGTTATACCATTGCTCATGAGAGATTGTTTTATTTTTATATTAAAAAATAGTTTAAAAAAATGCATGTTTTCAGACTGTACTAAGTGGGCAATGCCTTGCATTTGGGTATATATTCTTAGTCTGAGACCAAAAGTTAGAGTCCTTAGGCTGAACAATAGACCCTTTTAATTCAGCTTCTATTTAAAAGAAAGAAGATCACGGAAGAAAAACTAGAAAGAGCCAAGCTGAAGATACAAAAGAAAGAATGACTAGTACACGTGTAGAGGAAGAATGGGAATGTCACACCTACACAAATGATACAAGGTGCTTTTGTGGTACAGGTAACAGATGGCTTCCTGGGGACACAGGCTTGTGCTTTCCCATCTGTGGTTGACTGCTGGGTGCTGTAAGGTTGGGTGATAAACACAGAGAAATGGAAAAGATCAGCAAAATGAAGTAATGTGTCTCCTTGCCAGCCTTTGGCTTCTCCATCGAAAGCCTTTATGAAGTGATTGGTGTGGTGGAGTTCAAATGAATTGAGAAATGTGGCTTTTACCATTTATTTTGGGTTTTTGGTTTGGTTTTTTTTTTTTGGAATTACTTCCTCTGGTATTAGGGTTTATCTTTTGTTTTACTTTTCTTATATGTAAAATAGCCATTTCAGACAGTGCATCCATTTGTTCCTCTCCCTTTTCTCTAGCTTACATCATTCAAATACTTTCCCGTATTTGTGTTTTCCTATTAACCTTTTGGCCAAGCTATATAGGCATTTTCCCAAGGTTTTACCATAGATAAAATACAGCAGTGTTTTAAGAAAAAGAACACCCTTGTTCTTCTTCTCTGGATGTGTTATACATATTCTTGGCAAGAATAAACTTAAGAGACAGACTGGGCAAAATGATCCCTGCTTAACTGCTTAAGAAAAAATATATACCAGGCATGTGGTGGCCATTGTTCTCAGCTTCCATGTTCTTATGAAGAGAAACTATGGCCTTCCAGGGCAGGTGTGGTGAATTCCTTTATGCTCCTCAAAATGACAGGAGCCTGGCTCCAAGTGCTGTCTCTTCTTGGAGATCATCTAACTTGTTATCTGGTATAAACTTTGTTATTTGTTGATTTTTTTTTTCTCCTCTGTTTCTTCCTTATGTCTGTGTTCCCCCTGGGTTTTTTTAACCTGTAATATGAGCAGGAGGTTTCATCCAGAGATACGTGTTTTTCTTTCCTCTTGCCCAGACTGCCTGTCTCACAGCATTTCAGCAG